GCGGTTTAGAAGTATTTCCTTATAATTTAAAACATATCTACACGTAGATCATGATGTTCTGTTAGAATCGCTGAAAACTGTTTTCCAAAATTCGCGGCGGGGAGTGTACAGCATCGATTTCTGTGGAACCCAGTAGCTGTCAAAACTTTCACATTTTTACGAATAACTCGGAAATCGTAAATTTTTCAGGTAAAACGGTTGAAACAAACATAAATTAAAATTAAACGGCCAATCTGAAAATAACAAAAAAAGGGGGGGTTTCATTTAAAAAACCAGAGTTGGTAACTACCACACGTTTATGATGCACCCTGTATATTGGAAAGTAATTTTAGAATGTGGACCTTTTAAACGTGAAAAACTTTCGTTGGACGAATTTTCTTGTAAACTTCATATTTACTGAGATATCGCACTTTGACGCACTAATGAGCAACCCTGTATATTGTTACGTTTCCCGGGGTTCGAATGATTCCAGTAAACCAATAAAAAAGCACAACAATTTATTGAACTCCCAAATACTAGCTATAACAATCACTAACTCAAAACTACAGCTGGCGAATCGAACACACTCTGTATATCGCTTTAAATATTTCACTGTATAGCTGTCTGATTAACTAACTCACTCCGGTCGCTTTGCCGTATTTATATTAGCGCGCAAGGGCTTTCGACGACCTACGAAGATTCTCCATTTTTCGGGATTTCCATAGCCCAATCGACTATTGCCGTTCGTTCTCGAAGTATCGAGCTAAGGGTCCCGAAAACGCTGTAAGCTGCGTTGCCGCTGTGCGCTAAAAATCAAGCCGCAACAATATCATTACTATTTCTACTATCATCATCATTCTGCATCTTTAATGAAAAATTTAAAAAGTAACATGTTCTATTTGGAACCGGATTTTGAAACCTACTACCAAGGTGAAACTGGAACGTTGTAACCCGTTACAGAAAAATAACCGTTTAGAACACCTCTAATAAGACGTAATACGCAAAACGCAAGGAAAAACAGCAAATTGAGTCATAGTTGACGTAAAACGTAACAGTAAAAGTTAACTAAAGCTAGGTTATAATGCTCGGTAAGCTACTTGTCTTCATCTATGGACTATGCTATAGAGGTTATTTAATCACAACCGCATAATAGTTTTTATTTGTAAAATCATAGATAAAGACAGGTAAAAATGCATTCAGACGACGAAATTGTTGCTGGTGCGTTATTATGCCCCTATTATAAGCTAAAGGAGAACAAGAAGCGTATTTGTAAAACTGGGCAGGCAAGTAAACCGAAGGAGGATTACACATAGGTTCTTTTAACACGTACTTTTTACCAATGAAATATTCGGATAAGGTAAAATATATTGCTTAATAAAATATTGAATACACTAAACCGATTCATAGTAGTTTTCATCATCAGTTTATTTTACTTCCAGGGACAATTTTTGAAGGTACACGAGAATGAGTGTCCCAATCTTCGACAACCTCTTACAGATGGTAAAACCTTTGTTGATGAAACGGAAGCTACGGGATAAAATAAGTCCAGAAGAACGCTTAGCTATAACTTTGCAGTAAGTTTGTATTAAAGTAATATGTAATATGTTTCGAAATGGACTATGAACCATCAACCATGAACCCATTTAGAAGCATTTTGTATTCGATATACCTAGAGTCTACAATGTTATGTATTTTTGTTATTTTAGCTACTTTTCTCTACTAGAAACATCCATGCAAACTATAGCGTGGACATATCACATGGGCAATGCAACCGTGCATTCAATAATACTAGAAACAGCACATGTAAACTGGAAATGAAATGTCTAACACCACCGACCACCAAACAAGACTGGCTAGATATAGCTCAACAATTTGACGAGCAATGGAATTTTCCAAATTGTGTTGGTGCTCTGAATGGTAAACATATCACAATACAAGCACCAGCAGAGACTAGCAGTCAAAACTACAAAAAAATCGTTCAGTATTGTATTGCTGGCATGT